ATAAGCCTTAACAGATTATCTCCCCTGAATTTCAATATGCAAATTTTGGCATACCTTCTTCAGGAAATTGTTACAAAAAGACTACTATATATACAACTAAGTATGTATTACTGTTGGGGGACCCTTGAATCCAAAACATATCGGCGCATGCGCACTTGAAAGGGTTAGGGTTAGAAAAAAAGATCCGGCTAACCCAAACCCTAACCCAGGTTAGGGTTAACCCTAATTTGGGTTAGGGTTAACCCTAACCCTCATATATTCATACGCCAGCCATATCACAACCATTAATTGTCAGCCTACACCCCAGGTGCCCCCCTCTATATGATACCTAACCCTAACCCTAACCCTAACCCTAACCCTAACCCTAACCCTAACCCTAACCCTAACCTAACCCTAACCCTAACCCTAACCCTAACCCTAACCCTAACCCTAACCCTAACCTAACCCTAACCCTAACCCTAACCCTAACCCTAACCCTAACCCTAATTAGGGGAATGGTAACTCTAAGTGTAAATTGGTAACCCCGATAATATTAGTGAGCTACCAAAAAAAATTGAAGGGGGTTAAAAGAGGGTTTGGGGGTGCCTAATAGGACCCTATAGTAGGTGCTGAAAATTTTTTTGGGACATCTCAACTCATTTCCGTTAAAAGTCAAATGGCACCTTTAGATTACCGCTAACCATTTTGCTTTCCGAATAAGGGTTAGATTTCTATAAAACGGAAGATTTGCTCCCTCAAAAATACCTACCAACCCCCGTCAAACCCTCCTCAAACCCTCCACCAAAAATGATTAAAGGGGGGTGGGTTTTCGCTCTTCGGAGATATTGTACCCGCCCGGGGTAGACCCAACTAGAGCGTCTAAAATTCATATGTATTTGAAAACGTTTAGAAATAATATTTTTTTTTATTCTTTAAGATATCGTTCAGATGTTTTGGTTCTATTCTTGTCTACCCTAATGCAAACTTTTTCTGCGAAAAAAATTTTGGAATATGTTCAGACAATTTTTTTTAAATATAGTTTATCTTTTTTATGAAGGCAACAGTTACCGCAAATGTAAAAATATGGCATATTTCTTATTTTCCTAATAACTTTACCATTTTTCAGTTCCAGTTGATGCACTAGGGCTCAAAATGTTGCAAATAGACTAGTAAACAAGGAAAACAAAAGACCAAATGTTCATCTGATGCAGTTTATCCTAGATTTTGCTTTAAACAAAGTTACCATTTACCGCTGCAACAGAAAAATGTAAAAAATAAAATTAAAACACAATGAAAAGTTTATCACTCAGAATTTTTTTTCGACATTGGTTATATACTGTTGGTGATTCGTTCCTAAGTAAAAGGACATTGTAGCAACCCAAAACAGTTTTTGGATTGAGATTAAATCACCGATTAGTGTAAAGGTAGCTATTTTAGTGAGGTGCCCCCTTGTACTTTTTTTCCACTTTTTCTTAACTTAAAAAAAAGTCAAAATCAATCAAGTGATTGGGTTGATCGGGTGAATTTTGAAAGCCATTGTTCCTCTTTCTGTTAGCTTTTGATGGATTCCTGTGGAAGATAATTCAAATAACTTCATTTTAGTTGTCATACCATGAAAGTGCATCAAATATTATTTGAAAAACTAGCAAACCGCAAACAGGTCCATTGGTTGATTTTTTTGGGTCAAAGCGGTAATTGGTAACCTTCATATGAATGAACTAATTCATCTATTTTATGCCGAAAATAGCACTTTTGTTAGGGTTTTTTGTTGAATTTATGTCAGAATTTGTAAATTTAGTTACCAAATACCGCAATTTTGTTACCAAATACCGCAATTTTGTTACCAAATACCGCAGTGGAGTTATCAAATACCGCAACTAAGTAACCGTATACCGCAACTAAGTTACCGATTACCGCAAACTAAGTTACCGAATACCGCTATCTTATGCGGTGTTTGGTTACAAAGTTACCAAACACCGTTAAAAAAGTTGCCAAATACCGCAAGAAAGTATCCATTTACCGTTCTCATGTTTGCGGTAATTGGTTACAAAATCAACCAATTTTTTGTTATTTTACCTTTTTTTTTAGTTTTTTTTTGCTGTTTTATGTCGTTTGGACAAATTCAAGTGAAATCTACCTTCTTTATCGTGTCTACGGTCCGTTTTGATATTTTCAATTGTGATGTCGAGAAAGCTGAAAATATTTATACAAGTGTATATGTACATGTGTGTTAATATATGTATATATGTATGTGTATATATGTGTGAATTTGCATATGTTTACCGTATGTGTACATTTGTATATGTGTACTGTACATGTGTATGTGTTAATGTGCATGTGTACATGTGCATGTGTATGTCTAAATGTGTACTTGTGTATGTGTATATATGCAGATGTGATATGTGTATAAATATGTGTATGTGTATAAACATGTGTATGTGTATATTTGTGCAAATATGTGCATAAATGTATGTGTACATGTGTATGTGTATTTGTATATGTGTACTGTATGTGTACATTTGTATATGTGTATTATACATGTGCATGTGTTAATATGCATTTGTACATGTGTACATTTGTATGTCTAAATGTGTATGTGTACATGTTTAAATGTACATATGTAAATGTGCATCTGTATGTGTAAAAAAAAAAAAACAAAAAAAACAAAAAAAACACATAAAATGATGTGTATTGTATACTTTCGCATGCTGCTATCACTTAACCTACAGCTACGTGATTTATAATTTGTTAGAATAAGATATTGATCTTGAGATACGCGAAGAATCCTTGGTGTTCAATGGATATTTTGGATACAGAACGAAAATGAGTTTAATGAAAAAATGGGTCATAATTTTTCCATCTTTTTTATTTCTCAGAAGTTTCACACAAGACCTTCACAATGTGTCATATATGACACTAGAAGCCTTTCTACGAAGTTTTATTGCATTATCTATAGTAGTTTTGCTGTACTGAAAAACATGTTTAAAATTTCAATCGCAAATATTTCCCTTACTGTTGAAGTAAAACACAATAACTAAGCATTATAATCTTTGTTTGGATGAGTAATGTACAGGGTTCACCTAATTTGTATTACAATTCAGGTTCGAAGTAGCTAGATAAGATTTTATACCAGAAAGTAACCATTACCGCAAATTACTTAGCGGTATTTGGTAACCTAAGTCATCTATTGACCCAAAAATTACGAATTTAAAAAAAAAAGTTGGAACATACAGTCTTAGATGCATAATATCTTTTATTAGTTGTTAGTTGCTTTGGACTAGCTGTCAGTTACTGCGAGTACTCTCATATCTGTATTTAGTGTACCTTTGTTGTTGGGATGTAAAAGTACCCTGCCACGTCCACTAATAATTGTGGAGAGTTGTCTTATTGGCAAGCATACCACATCTTCTTTTTTTTTAAATTTAGGTGATTTATTTTTTACTTCTATTGATATTTAAACATTGTAATTCATATCAGAAGTGATTATCATACAAAAAAAATGATACTTTTTTCATGTTATAAAGTACCTTAGGACCTGCATTGCCTAATTTGGTCATTCTTCAGGTGGCAGTCGAAGAGAGAACACCAAAAAGGTAAGTTGTTATTTTTTTTGCTAACTTTTTTATCTCTTGGTCAATGTTGATAAAATAAATTGTAGAAACTTGGAAAATTGTTACTCTTTTTTTTTAATATTTGACATTTACCGAGAAAAAATATGCCAGACGAGGAAACTAAAATAAAGTAATTGATAATAAGTGAATTAGTATGCATAATATGTGAAATGACGTAACGTAATGCCATTCAATTTCGATATGAAAAGCCTTTTTTGATTGGCTAATATACTGATGATCAAAACATATCTTAAATTTAGTTTTTATGCCCCATTTATGGGTATTTTGTTTTCTGGTCTGTGCGTCCGTCTGTTCCTTCGTCTGTTCGTCCGTCCGTCCGTCCGTCTGTTCGTCCGTCCGTCCGTCCGTCCATTCGTCCCTCTTCAGGTTAAATTTTTGGTCGAGGTAGTTTTTGATGAAGTTGAAGTCCTATCCACTTGAAACTTAGAACACATGTTCCCTATGGTATGATCTTTCTAATTTTTAATAACTGTTATATTTTTTTCAGAATAAAAAGGAATTCCAGATCTTCAGTGGATGTCATTTTCTCACTTTCTTTCTTTAATTTTTTATAAATTGATATTTTTATTTTCTAAATTATGCTTATTCCCTACGGTTTTTTATGTTTTGGTATTTATGATGAGTTTGTGAATTCTCTTATGTTTTGTTTTAATCAACATATTCAGTTTCAGGAATTTACTTTCGGGGGCTACCACTACGTTGTTTTGTTTTCTAATAATAATTTTCATAATGTAATTGCATATTGTGAAGAACAAAGATTTATTTTTCTTAAGTTCTACTGTCTTTTATTTTAAATTCTTCCTTTTTCATTCCATTTGAGATTTGGTCAGTTTTATTTTCTAACTACTTTAGTTCCCTTTTACGTTTAGTTGTCTAGTTGTAGCATCTGCGGATTTTAAATGTAAGTTTTTTAAATGTTTATGTAGCCAATCTCAATACTATTATTGCAATATCATTGTTTATTTTCAGGAGTTGCCTACTTGACAGATTATTTTTCTTTTTTCTTTTTACATTTAGTATTTTCTATTTCAACTATTATGCCTACGTTTGAATCTCCATATGGTTTTGTCTGTTTTTTATCAAATTTTGAATTCACCGATGCTTTATTATTTTGTCAAAACAGTAATTTCGATGTTTCTGAGTTTTCTTTTCATGGTTTAAACTATATTGCTGTTTATTCAGTTCATGATTTTTTTCATTTAGTTGAATGGTGTGAGACTGAAGCATTAGATTTTCAAAAATATATTCCTTTATAAGTTTCAATTTTGTCGTTTAGTTTATTATTTTTCTTTTTTTATTTTATTACTTTCAGTTTACATGAGAAGAAAGAAAGCAGAGAAGATGATGGTAAGTACTACTGTATTTTATTGTTATATTAGTACAGTTATTCGACTAGACTAGATATGATCATCAGTCAAACAGATCATAAATTAATTGAAACTCCTGTTTACTAAACACTGCAATTAAGATACACAATACAACAATTTAGTTACCAAATACCGCAATTAAGTTACCAATTACCGCATTTTAGTTACCAATTACCGCAATTAAGTTACCAAATACCGCAATTTAGTTACCAATTACCGCAGCTATGTTACCAACTACCGCAACAAAATTAGCCTTAACGTTAAAGTATTTGCGGTGATTGGTGACAGGTTACCAATTACCGTAATGGAGTTACCAAATACCGCAATAACGTTACCAAATACCACAATAACGTTACCGAATACCGCAATTACGTATCCAAATACCGCAATTTAGTTACCAAATACCGCAATTTAGTTACCAAATACCGCAATTTAGTTACCAATTACCGCTAAAGTATTTGCGGTGATTGGTTACAGGTTACCAATTACCGTAAAGAAAGTTACCAGATACCGTAATAACGTTACCAAATACCGCAATAACGTTACCTAATACCGCAATTGCGTATCTAAATACCGCAATTACGTATCCAAATACCGCAATTAAGTTGCCAAATACCGCAACAAAGTTACCAAACACCGCAACAAAGTTACCCTTTACCGTTTATTTGTTTGCGGTGATTGGTTACAAAGTTACCAATTACCGTAAAGAAAGTTACCAAATACCGCTACAAAGTTACCATTCACCGTGCATGTTTTTGCGGTGTTTGTTTTCAAAGTTACCAAATACCGTATAGAAAGTTAACAAAAACTATCAAAATTGTGCTAAATTCTGAGTATTTGGTGTCCAATTTTAGGTATTTACACCATATTTGATGATCGAAAGTTAAAATCAAAGTAACATGTTTGCAATTTCAGGAAAGTGATTCCTCATCTGATCCGGATATTATTGATAGTACACCAAGATTAACAAGGTGGAAGACAATACCGAAATTAAATGTTTGTTTCCCATTCTCAAAGAGGAAGACAATAAGTCCAAAGACAGTAACTACAGATGCAACACAGAATAAGAAAAAACGTGGCTTAGCTGTAGCTGAAAAAACTCACCCCCAAAAACCACCGGTTCTTAGAAAGGCATCAACCAGTAGTGAGTCTGCATATAACCCGTTCGACGATACGGACACGGAAGATACAGATCAGATCACTAGCTGTGATCAAGTAGCACCGACACAGATTGCAAGGTCTAAGAAGAAAGGAAAAGATCATTCACAGTCAACTGAGAAAAAGAGAAAAAGACATCCAGATACTTCAGATGGGGAGGATGCAAGTGCAAGTTCACAACCAGAAAGTAAAAGGAGAAGAAAAGAAATTCCGAGTCAGAAAAAGACAAAAACACCACGGGGATTAGCACTTGCAAAGAATTCTAAGCCAAAAAAACAACAAACCACACCCAGTAAAAAAGAGACCAAACGAGTGCGTGAGCCTCAAAGTTGTCCTCACTGTCGAAAAAGTGTTATTAACATATGGAGACATTTGAAGGACATTCACTCAATTTCAAGTCTGCCGAACAAGGACTTAATAAGGAGCAAAAAGGGTTATCTTGTGAAAAGATGCCCTTACAAAGGATGTATGGCTGTTGTTGACAGATTAACCGATCATTTAGTTAGAAAGCACAAAGTAGCTAGAAAGTCATATCAAATCAAAAGACTCACGATGAGAGCCGAAGCTATTCCCTCGACATTGGATGTTTCTGGGAGAAAAAGACAAAACGTTAAAAAGCACATCAAAAAAGAGGATAAAATTCAGAATATAGAAATAAGCTCGGAGGACGAGCCCGTCAAAGTTAAGAAAGAACAGATCACAGTGAACATTAAGTTAGAAAAGAAGAACATTTTAGAAAAGAAGGACATTATTGAAATAAGCTCAGAGGAGAAAAGTTGTGAAGAGGATAGTTCAGAGGAGAATCGTTGTGAAGAGAATAGTTCAGAGAAGAATAGTTGTGAAGAGAATAGTTCAGAAGAGAATAGTTCAGAAGAGAATAGTTCAGAAGAGAATAGTTCAGAAGAGAATAGTTCAGAAGACAATAGTTCAGGAAGCTCAATGATAATAACTGATGATAGTGATGAAGAATCAGCTGAACAGGAGGAAAAAAAAGAGTATTATTTTGAGAATGAAGAGATAAAAGAGTTCATCAAGTATTTACAACGGCCACCTTATCTGAAGGCAAGAAAAGACGCATTGCAACATGCGTGCCAGGTGTGGTTTGTATGGGGTGAACTATCAAAGGAAAGAAAGATGAAGGAACTTTTCAATCTGGACAAACTGAATGATTGGCTTAATGAATTTCTAAAACATCATGCTCCAGGAACTGCACGTTCATATTTAAGTTCGATTGGATTGTTTGTAGGGCATCTGGTCAGGCAGGGATTTCTAAGGAAGAAAGTTGGGAAAGCCCTAAGATTCAAGGAAGACATCAAGCTACTCAGCAAACAGATTCGGAAAAAAATCCAAACCAGAAAGACTAAACTGGCTGTGGAGGAAATAGGTAAGTGTAACGTTAATGTCTACATGAAACTACAAACAGTATTCGAAACGATATATCCACATAATACACACAGTTCAAACACACACATACACACAAATACACGCACATACTCTCTCTCTCTCTCTCACACACACACACACACACACACACACACACACACACACACACACACACACACACACACAAACACACACAAACACACACACACATGTATGCACATACTCGTAAAAACATGTTTGTGTATGTGTATATGTGTTTGTGTATATGTAGTTTTGTATGTGATTGTGTATGTATATGTGTGTTTGTATATATTTATGTGTGTATTGGTGTGCTAAATGTTTGTATATGTGTGAATGTGTATGTGTCAATATGCATGTGTGTGAATGTGTATGTGTGTATATGCATGTGTGTGAATGTGTATATGTGTGTGTATATGTGTGTATATATAAATGTATATGTGTGTATATGTGAGAATGTGTGTGTATATGTGTGTATTTGTTAGTATGTCTATGTATGTGTGTTTGTGTGTCTGTGTGTGTATGTGTGTCTGTGTGTGTATGTGTGTGTTTTTTTTTCTCATATGCCTCATACCAAATGTATTTGAATAACACAAATATACAAAACGATGATGAGCTATTTGTTTTGCAGAGACCATGATCACGCCAGAAGATTTTTCTGAATTTTGGCAGAGTGATGTTGCCAGTGAGGCGGAGGCGAAGTTAAAAGGGGAGATACCCGAGACAATACAACAAGCTGACTTCTATCATGTGAGAAATTACCTTTTGCTTAGGCTGTTACAGTCTAACGCACAAAGGCCTGGAGCCATCAGAAATCTAACACATCAATCCATAGAAAGGGCCCATACAGACAACAACGGAGCAGTTGTGATGGTAAGTAAAAGTATGACTATTGCTTTAATCAGTTTGAAAAACAGTTGTGTACGTAAAGATTAAAAACAACGCAAAACCGGTTGTTAAAAGGACTGCAGCAACAAATTGCATGAATCTTTAGAGACAGTTAAAATTGCCAATAGAGAAGCAGTAGTAAATATTATGACTATAATATAAGTTTAATGGGAGTAAAAAAAAGATCAACAAAAAACATGTGTTTTTATATACAGTAATGTGATACAAAGTTAACAGATACTGCAAATAGTTATCTTTTATGTTTAATTTATAATGCAAAATAAATTACCAGTTCTATTCCAAAAAGTTTCCATTTTACCGTAAATGACTTAACGGTATCTGGTAACTAAAATGCGGTAGTTGGATACATAGTTACCAGCTACCGCAAAAAAGTTAACAATTACCGCAAAACGTTACCATTTCACCGCAAATGAGGAAACGGTAATTTGCAACTTTAATGCGGTAATTGGATACAAAGTAACCAATTACCGGAAAAAAGTAAACTTTTACCGCAAAAAAGTCACCAACTACCGCTTATGGGTTACCTTGTACCGCAAAAGGGTTACCAACTACCGTTTATTGGTTACTGTTCACCGCAAAAGGGTCATTAAATACCGTCAGTATTTGCGGTATATAGTAACTCTTTTGCGGTATTTGGTAACCTGTTGCGGTATTTGGTAACCTGTTGCGGTAAAAGGTAACCAATAACGGTATTTTGGTAACCATTTTGCAAATAAGACTTCTGCAAAAAGTTATTTTTCACCATGAAATAGTCACCAACTACCGCTTATTGGTTACCATATACCGCAAAAGGTTACCAAGTACCGTTTAATGGTTACTTTTCACCGCAAAAAGGTTACTAAATACCGTCAGTATTTGCGGTATATAGTAACTCTTTTACGGTATTTGGTAACTAATCAACGGTATTTAGTAACCTTTTACGGTAAAAGGTAACCCATAAACGGTATTTGGTAACCTTTTGTGGTATGTGGTAACCAATTAAAGGTATTTTGCAAATAATGCTTACTAGTTCACAAAACGAAGTCATTTGCCGCATTTCAGTAACCACCTGCGTCCATATATTGCATCCATCTACTGAAAAAATCGAAAATATATCTTCATTTTTTTCAAAACTAAACATATAAATATCTACAAATATGTCTTTTTCAGATTGCAGATCACAAAACAGCGGCACAGGGTCCGGTAAACCTGGGTATGTCCCACGAAATATTCAACTTAGTGCTGACATATATAAAATGGACGACTAGAATAACAGGGTTCAAGTACGATCCAAAACGGCCAATCTTCATTACCTTCCCAACAGACCAAAATTTTTCCTATATGTCATCAAACTTGGTAAATAAAGCGATTCAGAACATCTGGAAAAAGGGACCAATAAATCAGAAAACAATCACGGCCACAAGAATTCGAAAGAGCACAGCCACGCATGTAAGAATTGCTCACCCTACCAGCAGGGAATCGTTGGCAGCGCATATGACTCACAGTCCTGAGACGGCTGATCGGCATTATAATATGATTAATCACAGGAACAACGCCATGACGGTTACAAATTTA